TGCTGAGTCACCTGTGGCCAGACTCTGGGAGGAGTTTCCAATTGCACCATCCTCACCTGTGGCCGGGATGGCGGGGGTGGGGTGTGCCCGGGAACTCTTGCAATTGCGCCAACCCACATGAAGGATGTAGGCAGGCTCCTCCTTTGAAGGAAATTAACTGTCACGTTGTTTAATCCTGCGTTTCTGGTGTTAATTTAGTGGGGTGTTGAATGGCTGAAACTTTCTTCTTACAGGTTTTGAAAAGTCCATAAAAGAGACATTTACTTATAAAGTCACAGTAAACTAGTACTGACAAAGTATTCTTGATTTAAAGAAACATGAAATTACACACAACTTGAATATTTTCTATTTAGCTTCCAGAGGTTTTAGAAACAAGTATCTTAGGAAACATCCGTTGGAGGGCTACCGAAAGAAGGGCATGAATATCAAATGTTTCAAAATACTTTTTTTTTTTTTAAAGGAATATAGTGAATAAATAGTTACCCTTTTCAAGGACTACCACAGTTATCAAAAGGATGTCTTACTGTAACACTTGGTTGAGTGCTTTTTACTAAGCCAGACCAAAGGACACTGGTAAATGTGTTATTGAGAAAATAGTGGGAGTGTATAAAGGGCAGGAGATCAGCAGCAGCAGCAAACCTCTTAAGACATACACTGGTTAGACTGGTATTTTACAAAGGACAGGGGCTGATTATCCCGTTAAGCCTGGACTAAGTGACTCCATCACAAGTATCTCACTTCATCTCCCACCTGGCCAGGGGAGAGTGGAGGGCAATCAGTGACCCCATCTAAGCCATACTGTTGCAAAATATGAAAAATTTTTGAACTCAAAAGGCTTCATTAGAAGTGTTCATTAGGCTGGCAGGGTCTTCTCAGATGTTTTATCTCCTTGGGACCTGGAACTGTCATGGGCAAATATCTGGTTCTTTCCTGGTTTCTAGGCCTGTGGAATGTCCAAAGTCCAGTTAAAGGTAAACACGATGCAGTGGTAAAAAGTCATGGGTTCATCAGAACAAACTTCCCTTTCTCCTACAGCCTTAGAGCTCAACAAGTAGATGCAGGTAATAGTGAGCTTGCTGATGAGGTCAGCAGAGCATAATTGCTTTATGGGGAGTATGGTGACAAGGAGGGAAGCATAAATCAAAGGTTATGAGCAATTGGAGGTTTTGTCTTGGGGTTATGAGACTAGGCCCTTTGACATTTTAGGCGATGTTGAATTTTTTTGAGATTCCTATTGTTGTTCAGGTGGTAAGTTGTGTCTGACTCTTGGTGACCCTACCGACTGCAGAATGCCAGGCTTTCCGGTCCTTCACTGTCTCCTGGAGTTTGTTCAAACTTGTGTCCCTTGAGTCGATGATGCTATCTAAACATCTCACCCTCTAGCTCCGCGTCCGCGCCTCCCTCTACCTGGCGCCCCTCCTCGCTTACGCGTCGCCCACTGCCGTCCCCACCCTTCGCCTCGCTTCTCCTTCCAGTCTCCGAGTGCATCCTCTTCCTCACCCCACCGGCCCATTCCGGGACCCCAGGATGCCTCCTCCCCTTCCTGGTTCTTCTGGCTGGTTCCGTAGAGTTTGGCTTGAACTTTTGAACCCACCAATGAGCGCCGTGCGCCCCTCCTCTCTCCGCCCCGAGGGTAAAAGCCGGCCGAGGGCTGGGAGGCGGGGCGCCGGAGGCCGGGGCGGGGCCGGGTGCCGGCCCTCCTGACACGTGGCCCGGGTAGGGGTTTATAGGATGCCTCCGGGCCCCGGGCCTCTCACTACTTCTCCCCCGGACTCCTTAGTAGTCTGTCAGTGGGAGATCTTCACGGCCGTTCCCTCACCTGTTGCAGCCCCGCAGAACCGTACAAGTCTCCGTCATGGTGAGTGGGGGTCCCCGGGCGGTGGTGCGGGGGCAGACTGCGGAGCCCGAAGGGGCGTTGGGACCCCAGTGCGAGTGCAGCCACGTCCACGCCTCCGGGCACACTGGTTTCTGGTGGCCAGGTTGGGAGAGTCGAGTTCACCTGGCTGACTCCTCGTCGGGCTCGAAGACGCGGCCTGGGCACTGCCTGGAGTGGAAGTGAAAAAACCACTTGATCCTAGAGAGGGGCCATTCAGAGATTCCTTCGGGGCCGCTACTGCCCCAGGAAGGTCCGAGAGCCTTCGCACCGGCTCCCAAGGACTTGTGAAAGCTACAAATCCTTCCCATTTCCTGAAATGATCTCACCTTCCCACAGCCTTACGCAAAGGACCCCTGGAGCACCTCGGTGCTCCAGCATAGTAGGTGCAGATGTTTCCCGGCGACCCCTCCCCTGTGCCCTGTGACTTGCTGCTGAGTCACCTGTGGCCAGACTCTGGGAGGAGTTTCCAATTGCACCATCCTCACCTGTGGCCGGGATGGCGGGGGTGGGGTGTGCCCGGGAACTCTTGCAATTGAGCCAATCCACATGAAGGATATAGGCAGGCTCCTCCTTTGAAGGAAATTAACTGTCACGTTGTTTAATCCTGCGTTTCTAGTGTTAATTTAGTGGGGAATTTAATAGCTGGAACTTTCTTCTTACAGGTTTTAAAAAGTCCATAAAAGAAACACTTATTTATAAAGTCCCAGAGTAAACTAGTACTGACTGACAAAGTATTCTTGGTCTTAAAGAAACATGAAATTACACACAACTTGAATATTTTCTATTTAGCTTCCAGAGGTTTTGGAAACAAGTATCTTAGGCAACATCCGTTGGAGGTCTACCTAAAGCAGGCCATGAGTATCAAATGTTTCAAAATATCTTTTCTTTTTTTTTAAAAAAAAGGAATATAGTAAAAATAAATAAATAAAAAGGAATATAGTGAATAAACAGTTACCCTTTTTAGGGACTACCACAGTTATCAAAAGGATGTCTGACTGTAACACTTGCTTGAGTGCTTTTTACTAAGCCAGACCAAAGGACACTGGTAAATGTGTTATTGAGAAAATAGTGGGAGTGTATAAAGGGCAGGAGATCAGCATCAGCAGCAAACCTATTAAGACATACACTGGTTAGACTGATATTTTACAAAGGNTACTCCTGTCCCAATTTTGAACCAGTCCATTGTTTCATGTCTGTTTCTAGCTGTTGCTTCTTGACCTGCATACAGGTTTCTCAAGAGACAGGTAAGGTGGCCTGGTATTCCAGTCTCCTTAAGAATTTCCCAGTTTGCTGTGATCCACACAGTCAAAGGCTTTAAAATCCTATGAACAGCTTTCAGAACCCTCAAACTCTCTTATTTGGAGAAAATGTAATAGGAGATATTTGATGTGGATACATGAAAGACTGCTGTCTCAAGCAGCCAATTTGATTTATGATGGAAATACAATAAAAATCTGTTTGTTTTCCTCTTAAATCTGTGGGTTTAGATTCTATGTTCACTGCCTTATTTTACCAAGCAGAAATGAGTTTGGTAACTTATAAATGACCTTGTTCAGCAAGTAAAGGAAAACAAACGCTTGCCTAACATCGTTAAATTTATGAAATTATAGACTCTTCTTCCACAATGCCAGAGAGAGATGTACATTTTACTAGAAAGCAGCTGATTTCTTAAACTATTAGTGAAGTCTTGGTGACACCTCTATCTTTTGTTACCCTATTTCCATCTGCCTACCCTCCCCTACTCTCCCCTCAAGGTGTGTGGACAGTGAAGGAAAATGTTTTTCCCTAAGATTAAATACTTCCACAGGGATAACAGGATGCCTTTGACCACAGTCTTTAAAGTCCAGGTAACTGCCGCTTATCTGGTGTTTTTTCCATGAGTCATACAACTGTAGTTTGCTGGTTTAAGCTGGTTTTAAAGGGAGAGGCAGAAGCTGTTTAAAGAATAGAATGAAAGAGGGATGGGAATGAGCTGTAGTTACACAGTCACACAGGGAATGATTCAGAGCTGGAAGGAGGAATTTTGCATGCCTCTAAGGAATCAACAGGCATATTTCCCAGGAGTTGGGGAAAATCTATTGCTAAAGCAGCTTGTGTCATTCTGAAGGTAGAAACCTGACCATGAATATCTAATGTGGCTGTAAAGCGAAAGTCTGGTCTCTGGCCTTGTCTAGTAGTTCATTAACATATCTGTGGTTTTCCAAAGCATTTTCTCTGAATTGGCCTGTTGTTTGTGAAATAGTGCCTGGGCAGGCATGGCCTCCAGAAAGGTGCTGGTCTGTCTTGAAGGTTAATAGTCATTTCCGTGTGAATCATTCCCAAATGTCCCATCCGATGTGTCAGATTCTGACACTTCCTTTCTTCCTTCCCACAGCGTGAGTGCATCTCCATCCACGTTGGCCAGGCTGGTGTCCAGATCGGCAATGCCTGCTGGGAGCTCTACTGCCTGGAACATGGCATCCAGCCTGANTGTCTTGAAGGTTAATAGTCATTTCCGTGTGAATCATTCCCAAATGTCCCATCCGATGTGTCAGATTCTGACACTTCCTTTCTTCCTTCCCACAGCGTGAGTGCATCTCCATCCACGTTGGCCAGGCTGGTGTCCAGATCGGCAATGCCTGCTGGGAGCTCTACTGCCTGGAACATGGCATCCAGCCTGATGGCCAGATGCCAAGTGATAAGACTATTGGGGGAGGAGACGACTCCTTCAACACCTTCTTCAGTGAGACAGGCGCTGGCAAGCATGTGCCCAGGGCAGTGTTTGTAGACCTGGAACCCACAGTCATTGGTGAGTTGACCTCAGTAACCCCAAGGATCCCATGGATCTGGGACAGGAGGTGTGTCCTGGGAGTTCTACTGATGCCCTGAGATGGAGCAGACTTGTGTAGGCTGTTAGTGATGGGTGGCTGCTTCATTTTCCTTTTCCAGATGAGGTTCGCACTGGCACCTACCGCCAGCTCTTCCACCCTGAGCAACTTATCTCAGGCAAAGAAGATGCCGCCAATAACTATGCCCGAGGTCACTACACCATTGGCAAGGAGATCATTGACCTCGTCTTGGACCGAGTTCGAAAACTGGTAAACAAAGAACTTTATAAAATAGGATGATGGTTTTCTCTTAGAGCTTTGAGAGACCAGACTATGAGAATCATTCTTTGTGCACTAGAATGAGCTTTATACTGCCCACTATGACTTGACTTCTGAACCAAACGGTCCTGTGCTATGGAACAACCTCTTAAGGCTGAAGTGAGTGCTGTTCGGCCTCTTCCTGTGTCTTCTAAGGCAGATTTGGGCAATTGCTCACTCATGAGGGCAGTTTACCTGAAGTCAAGTGAGTACCAGGAAGGCTTGACAGTTTTACTGACACTTAAGCCCATTAAACATACTTGTTCATCTTAATCAGGCAGCTTCCTGGCTCCAACCTGAGGCATCCCTTTTTAGGTCATCTTAGTCACAGTGGTATGTGGCTGGCTCTGAATGTAACTATTTGATCAAACTCATAAAAATTGGAGAGCTACGCTATGTTGCTACACAAAGTTACAGCAAAAGAAGCCGATGAAATCCCGACTAGAAACAGCTGCCATTGGACACTTCCAGCAATCCTGGAAGTGGAGTCAAGGGACCTCCCTTGTTGGGGAAGCAAGTATAAGTCACTGGAACTTTGAAAGTATTAAGATATAACCACAAAAAGCAGTACCCTTGTTTTTCTACTAGAGCTCAGGGCAGTGTAGGCTAGCCTTGAGGCAGAAAAATCTAAGGTAACTGTATTCACATCGGTAAGGTTGATAAGGGTTCTGTGCAGATCATTTTAATTAAGAGTCTGGCAATCAGATGACTGTGCTCCTTACGCATACAGGCAACTTGTAAGTAATTAACTAAAATCAAGAATAAAGGCCTGGGTGGAATAGCTTGTCAGAAATTCATATAACGCTAAGGCTGGCAACAACAGGTCTATTTTCAAAAGAATGGCCTTACATCGTTCTTGGCTTCATACTTTTTCAAATGTTTATCATAGTCTTGGCAACAAAATTGGGCTAATGGTTCCCCTCTTTGCAAGTGAAGCTTGAGCTACAAGTACTGACTTGGAAATCAGGACCTGCCTTCAGGCAGTTCAGTTCAGTTCAGTGGCTCAGTCGTGTCTGACTCTTTGTGACCCCATGAATCACAGCACTCCAGGTCTCACTGTCCATTACAAACCCCTGCAGTCTACCCAAATTCATGCTCATCGAGTCGGTGATGCCATCCAGCCATCTCATCCTCTGTCGTCCCCTTCTCCTCCTGCCCCCAGTCCCTCCCAGCATCAGGGTCAGGGACAAGTAAACTAGTGAAAGTCATTGAGGTGTCAGCTTCTGGAGTGAAGTTAATTAAGCACCAGAACAATTGCATTTGTCCCTGTGTGATTACCGTGTCCACAAGAGTCTTAATGGGTGGAGACTGGTAAACTAGAGTCTGCCCCTTGCACTGATCTCATTCAGAGGGTGGACCCATAGAAGTGACTAAGGGCTTAGTAGCGAATGTCCACAAATCTTGGAGCACCTTAAAGTGAAGATTGTCCAGAGAATACTGTCAGGTTAAGATCATCCTTGCAACCATAGCAGTTTGTTGGCCAAAAGAGCTCAATTAAGTGGTGGAAAGCCCCCGTGACACAAGGACATGGATTTGTGACAGTAAATCACCTTTCCCGGAATGAATAGACTTTCTGCTAACTAGTGCTGACTGTGTCAGGCCCTATTCCAGTACTTATTTAACTCCCAACAACCGGAAGCAGATTACTATTCTCCTCAGTTAGTAAATGAGACACTGAGATTGTGGAATGAATTTGGTCACAGGCACATGGCAAGGAACTGGTAGAGCCAGACCCAGCCTTGTCCTAGTGCCAGGGCACCGAATCTTCACTCTTCTGCTGTACTACAGCTCAGAAAGCAGCTGCCAGAAGTTCTGTAAGACATCCATCGTATGGGGCTGGTGTGGTCTCAGGCCTGCTGTTGGCAGCCCTCCAACTGCTAAGAGGTCGCCTTTGCTCTGTGGTCATGTCAAGGGCAGAGGTACCTGGTGGAGACCTGGCCAAAGTCCAACGAGCTGTGTGCATGCTGAGCAACACCACAGCCATCGCTGAGGCCTGGGCTCGCCTGGACCACAAGTTTGACCTGATGTATGCCAAGCGTGCCTTTGTTCACTGGTACGTGGGTGAGGGCATGGAGGAAGGAGAGTTTTCTGAGGCTCGTGAGGACATGGCTGCCCTTGAGAAGGATTATGAGGAGGTTGGAGCTGACAGTGCTGAGGGAGATGATGAGGGAGAGGAGTATTAGCATGTCTGCTGCAGTTTCATCTGGGACTGTATTGTTTGTGTTTGGTGCAGCTGTCCACTGTGGCTGTATCTTGTCAATAAAGATGATATTTCCACTTTCAACATCACGCTGGATCATAGTAAATATTTACTTATTGAAGGCCAGTTTTGGATGGAGGATGCTGGCAATTCTAGCTGATCATTTGCTAAACATTTCAAGTGGTTTCTGCGTACTGTGCTAAGAGGTTTGTCTATTTCACTCAGACCTGAAACAATGACTGGTGATAAAATCATAAGTAATGCAACAGGCTGAGATTGGGCCAGTGCTTTTCAAACTTTAATATGGATGTGAATCTCCTGTATATTTTAAAAAGCAGAGCTGATTCTGTAGGTCTGAAGTGGAGTTTCAACAAACATACTGCCTTTTTTTTCTTTTTTCTTCTTTTTTGCCTTTGTTTTTTAGAGCTCTCAGGTTTTTTGTTTTTAATTGGAGGATAATTGCTTTACAATATTGTGTTTGTTTCTGCCATACATCAACATGAATCAGCCATAGGTATACATAGGTCCCCTCCCTCTTGAACCTCCCTCCCACCTCCCACCCCATCCTACCCCTCTAGGTTGTCACAGAGCACTGGGTTTGAGCTGCCTGCATCATATAGCAAATTCCCACTGTTTTACTTATGGTAATATATATGTTTCAATGCTACTCTCTTAAGTCATCCCACCCAAAGCTCCCAGGTATTCTTGTCTGCTGTGACCACATGTGGAGTAGCAAGGGGTTGGGTAACATAGCCAATAAATGGTGGAGCCATAACTCAAGTCGCCAGGCTGACTGCCAGAACTACTGCAGTCTTTATTTCATAAAGTGTTGGAGTCACATCGGAAGGGCTTGGAATTTTGTGCTGAGTTTTCGTCCTTGGCCAGATTCTACAATGGCAAACTAGGGCTGTGCTTTAAGAAATCACTGGTTGGAGAAAGTAGAGCAAGCTGAGACACACAAGTACAGTAGTCTCAGGTGGTTATGGTATTGGTCCTTGACCCAGTGTATGTCATGGGGAATATTTGAAGTAGGGGAATAATAAGGAAAATTGAAGGAGTATGTATGTAAGAAAGGTTGAAGACCAGAGGTCCCCAATTTGGATGCTTTTCTGAGCACCTACTGGAAGCTGTGTGGTTCTTGAAGGGGGCAGGAGGCAACTATGAAAAGATGAAGGTGGAGGAAGAATGTGCGGGTGACTGGAGAGTTTGGTGATTGGTGCTCAGGGACCAGTGGTGTGGCCTCTGAGGTTGAACTGAGCAATGAGAGAGGACAGCGATCATCAGGGCCAGGTCATGCAGAAGGGAGGAGCCATTTTTGATGCTTAGGTCCTGGCCTGAGTGGGAAGGCCAAGCAAGTGGCAGGAGGTGAGGGTCAGTGCAGGTCTGTTCACCTTGGCTCCAGGACTGAGCTTATTCAATGGCGCTCAGCTATCATCTTTCTTTTCCCACTGGTGTTTTCACCTCTTACTCATTGCTACCCTCTGCCCCCTTACTCTTTAAGGAGAGCATTTTAAATATGCACATTCTGGGAATTCCCTGGTGGTCAGTGGAATTAGCACTTTCAGTGCTGAGGGCCCACGTTCAATCCCTGATTGGGGAACTAAGATTCCACAAAGCACAAGGACCAGCAACCCCTTCCCTCAAATACACATTCTGTCTTGGAGCACAGCTTCCAGCCTGAGCTGTCTCAGCTTTGTGCTCGGAATGGTTGTCACGAGAGCAACCGTTGTCACGAGAGCAACCGTTGTCTCACGCTTTCAGGACAATGCCCAAGTTGCCCCATCCTTGAGTACAGCCAGCCACTGCTACCCAAAGTGATGGGCTAGATTCCTTCTGCAGGCTGAGCATGGGCATCCTGGGCTGAAATAGTGAGCCTTGGAGAGGCTGGCCACTCCAGCTGCGCTCAGACCTTCCCAACCTGGGGTTGCGCCAGTGAGAGCTCTGGAGGGAACAGGATATCCAGGTGTGAGAAGGAAGAGACAGATCATCAGCTTCAGCTGAGCACAGACCCCATGACACCTGAGGTCCCTTCTCGGAGCCTGCGTGTCTCAAGCCGGAGACCCTGAGAATGGGGTTCAGGGCTTGCCTATTCTTCTCCTCCCTCAGCCTTCAGGAGAGCCAGACAGCACCTGCAGAGCCTGAAGCCCCGGGGCCAGTGGGCTCCCCCCCAGCTCCCTGGCCAGGAGCGAGCCCCTCCAATTACCTCCATAAGCCTTACAGGTGAATAGCCTGCCAAGACGTGGAAGAGAATGGAAAGCTTTAAGCAGCCACAATGGTGTGGGGGGGGTGAAAGAAGGTGAAAGAAGAGTTTAGCTGAGAAAAAATATTCCAGTAGAACAGAGCCTGGGGAATTGGAAAGGGCAAAGTGCCAGAGCTTGGAGAGGGAGCTGTCCTTGTAGTGATGATCCCCCCCAACCCCTGTGCTGGCGAGAGAGTGAAGAGAAGTTAGCCTGCAGCAAGAACAAATATACCCCAAGGTCTCAGTCACTGCTTTGTGCCTGACAATCATCCGATCTGCCCTTGAGCACAAATGGAAAGTCTGCACTCAGAACTGCCGCCAGGGCTGAGGCCACTGGGGCTTGATGGGGATAAATGGAGAAAGCCTAAGAGGGTGCAGCCCCAAAATTGGCTGGCACCCCAGATTCTGTGGGCGTCCCCGATAGCTCAATTGGTAAAGAATCTGCCTGCAGTGCAGGATACTAGAGTTCTATCCCTGGGTCGGGAAGATCCCATGGAGAAGTAAATGGCAACCTACTCCAGTATTTTTGCCTGGAAAATCCCATGGATGAAGAAGCCTAGTGGGTGATCCATTGGATCGCAAAGGGTCAGACACAACTGAAGCAACTTAGCACAAGTGGGCGTAGGCATGCGCAGGAGGCCCAACAGGGCCCAGAAAAGGAGGCAAAATTTGGGGTGAATTTTGAATGTGGTGGATGCAGAACTTGTCACTTTCTTCTGATTGGTTGGTGGTGAGGTAATAGGGCGGTGCTCCAGGAATCTTGTGCTCAACCTGAAGTTACCATCCTCCACCTGGGTAGGGGCCCAGGTTCTGCAGAACTCAGAGATACTGTTATGCATATTCCTTGAGTAGGAACCAGGCTCCAAGGCTGTACCACCACTAGATTTCTCCTATTTCTGCTTTCCCTTCCTTCCCTGATAAGCAACGGTTTGAATTGGCCCTTTGGAGTTCAGGGAAGATCAAGGAGGCTAAATGAAGCCTATATCCTATAAACAATAAAAACATGAAGTAAAGGATGCTTCTGAGGAATAAATCGTTGCATGGATGGTCAGAGTGAAACTGAGCCGCACCTTGCAGGTCCTTCCCAGTTTCAAAAGCCCCTCCATGTCCCCTGTGTCTTATATGTAGAAAACAGAAAAAAGTCTCCCAGGCCTTCCTTGAGTGCCAAAGAACAAGCCCAAGCAGTTACTGATAGGGTCACAGGACACCTAGTTCTTCCTGAAGCCATAAACATAACAACCTGATGCATTATCTTTGAGTTGTTCTACAAACGCTAAGACCCCCGCCACTCAGGAGGATGTAACTACAAGTCCACCACAAGCACACAGACTCCAGACTGGTTGGAACCAGAAGGTTGAGATTCTGGAAACATCACCCTGTTACCTCACCACCAACCAGAGAGAAGAAGGTCCAGGAGCTGGTCAAGCAACTATGACCCTTTTCGCTAAGTCTTGCCTGAAAGTGATTGGAGGGTTCAGGTCTTTTGTGCACCCAGCATCTATTCTTGCTTTTAGCCTTTGAAATAAATCTTTCTGTGCTCCAAACTCCCAGGTTCTGAAAATTGTTTGGCTTCAGTGAGCCAGGGACACTTGGGAACTTGGGTTGCATAACAAAGAGTGGTATACTTAGGGTGAGGTGAAAGTGAAGTTGCTCAGGTGTGTCTGACACTTTGTGACCCCATGGACTGTAGCCTACCAGGCTTCTCCATCCATGGTATTTCCCAGGCAAGTGTACTGGAGTAGGTTGCCATTTCCTTCTCCGGGTATCTTCCCGTCCCAGGGATCGAACCCAGGTCTCCCACATTGTAGGCAGACACTTTACACTCTGAGCCAGCAGGGAAGCCGTAGTGAGGGCCTAACTTTGTTCCAGCTGTGTGACCTGCAACTAGTTTAATTACTCTAAACCCTAGTTTCTTTATCTGTAAAAACGAGGCTAAGGCACAGCATTTGTCTATGGATGACATGTGATTAACATTGTCTGAAAAACAAACAACTCTGCTTAGTAACCAACTGAAAAGTGAAAGCTATTATATGCACGTGTGCTCATGTGTCAGACTCCTTGAGACCCCAAGGACTGTAGCCCACCAGGCTCCTCTGTCCATGGGTTTCTCCAGGCAAGAATACTGGAGTGGGTTGCCATTTTCTACTCCAGCGGATCATCCCCACCCAGGGATCAAACCTGCTCATCTTGCCTCTCCTGCACTGGCAGGAGGATTCTTTACCACTAGCGCCACCTGGGAAGCCGGGGTTAGCATTATAATGAATTTGGGGCGGGGGAAAGACTGCTTTTGCACCAGTAGGAAGGAGCTTGCTGTTAGGAACCAAACGGTTCATTTAAAAGGAGGTAGGAAAACAAGGAAAGAAAAGCAACAAAAAAGGTGAGATTCAAGATTTCAAGTTGGTTTGTGCTGATTAGGACCTGGAATGGGGAACCTTAGGCCTTCCCTCTTGGAAGTGCCTCAACTGCGAGAGTTGCGGGCGTCGCGGATCCCCGTGGTGGAAGCAGCCGGATCGTGTGGGAGGTCCTGATTGGGGGCTGTGCGGCTGGGACTGGCTGAAGGCCACCTAGGTCGCCCTCCAGTCCAGGGTCGGGGGTCCGGAGCTCCGGGACCAGGCGGGCAGCGAGAGGAGCCGCGCCCGGAGGGCTCCGCGTCCGCGCCTCCCTCTACCTGGCGCCCCTCCTCGCTTACGCGTCGCCCACTGCCGTCCCCACCCTTCGCCTCGCTTCTCCTTCCAGTCGCCGAGTGCATCCTCTTCCTCACCCCACCGGCCCATTCCGGGACCCCAGGATGCCTCCTCCCCTTCCTGGTTCTTCTGGCTGGTTCCGTAGAGTTTGGCTTGAACTTTTGAA